GAAGGTCGGTTAAACGAGACTCTACTGTAATTCAGAAGTAAATCCCATTAAATTTAGTAGATGTACTTCTAAAGTTATCACAGGCTAAATTCAAATATTGATATCAAAATCAGAATTTCCAATTTTGCAAAATTGCCCAGTTCCAATGTTTTCTTTAAATTTTCATTTTGGGTCTACTCCCTAATCCAAAGGGATCCACTTTGGTCTGGTTTACAGAATGTAATAGTGGAAATAAGAGACATGGCTTCACTAGAGGGCTAATTTTAAAAAAAAAAAAATCTTTACCATTTCACAGCCAGTATCTCTATGTGAACTTCCAGAAATTGAGTCCCTAGCCCATGTTCTTCTATGATGCCTTTTCTATAGGATTCCACATTCTGACTTTATAGTTCCCCTTCTGTTTGGCAGATCTGGTAGGACAGAAGAGGATTTTATTCATCCCTTTCTATTGGACCAGCAAGCTGACACCACAAGGAGAGATGCAAAATTCCTCTCACTCACCGTTGTATTGCACCAGAATTTATTGAAACAAACTCAGCTTATGTTATTCCTTATCAGTGTATACAGGTAGTCCCCGACTTATGACCATTCATTTAACGACCGAAGTTACAACAGTGCTGAAAAAAGTGACTTACGACCTGTCCTCACGCTTATGATCATTGTAGTGTCCCCGTGGTCACATGATCAAAATTCAAGTGCTTGGCAACTGGCATGTATTTACAGATCATGTGACCCCAGGTTACAGTGTCCTGGGGTCACATGATCACCATTTGCAACCTTCCTAGGGGGGCTTCTGACAAAGTCAATGGGGGAACCCAGATTTGCTTAATAACCAGAGTGATTCACTTAACGACCATGGCAAAAAAGGACGTAAAATCAGGCACGATTCACTTAACGACCACATCGCTTAGTGATGGAAGTTTCAGTCCCAGTTGTGCTCATAAGTCAAGGACTGCCTGTAATCCTATATTTCTCTTTGACATTTTTAAATGATGCTTTTTTTAACTTGATTATTCTATATAATCTGATCCTTGATCAAAATAAGTATGGCTGACTGATTAAAAAAATAGTATCTCTCAGGCTCAGATGAAAGAAAAATCTTGCAAATCTGGGCTTAGGTCCAAGATGTCCAATATAGTGTGGACAGTCGAGAACACTGCAGCTTTTCCTAACTGCTGTCCTCTATGCTGTGGGACTTCAATAATTTTTCATTAACTGAGGCAACAGTCATGTCTGCGGAAGATTTTGAGAGCTAAAATCCCAAATGCCTTGAGTGCCTCCAAGGTAGAATACAAATCGGATAAATAATGAAGATGATGATGATGCTGACAACACTTTTGGAAGGCAGCAGATTGAGGAAGGCTGATGTAGAACTATAATAGCATTATCTAGTTAGCTTGGACACGAGTTAGCAGCATTCTATATCACAGCAGGTATCTCTTCCATATACGTCAAAAACCATTATTTCTAGTCAGTATAAACATTCTAAAACATCTTGGAGCAACATTTCAGGAAATAATATATATAGATCTATGTGTAAGTATAACTGCTGTCCCTATTTTAGAATGAATGTTCTAACAAAATTTGTCATCATGCAGGAAAAAATCAGTGTTCCACTGCAAACATTTATAACTGTGGTATCTGGAGAAGAAGCTGGTCCAGTAGAATGATTATGAGATATGGTACCAAATTTTCAACCAGCCTGCAACCTGATATACATCTATTAGCAAATGATATTATTTATTCCCTTCCCATGGCTAGCTTCCTTTGCTGATTTGTACAAGCTATTGTTGAAGGCACAATAGCAAGTCCTAAACGTAGTTCTAACTTCCACTACATGAGCTCAGGCAAGTCCACTTATCCTCCCATTCTCAAATATCATCTCATACCACCTCAGAAATAGAAGGAAATGGGGACTTCTGTGGAAGCAATGACAGACTGAAGACGACTCTGCGGAGAGTAGAGCCAAGGGCCACAGCAGAAAGAGGAGCCAGTGAATGGATTGGCTCATTGGAATTCCTTCCAGATTAAGGAGAGGACCAGGATCGCCCACAAGTTTGCTCCATACAAAGGCTCCCCACAAAGAGATTATAAAATAGTGGTCTGTGGCGGCTTTTAGAGCCCTGGGAGCCAGGAGGAGAATCATCTTGCCTAAGCCACAGCTCGGTGCCTTCAAATGTACACTGGGTTTGCCCACTTCCTCTTTTAATCACCTTAGGAAATTGCTTGTTATTGACTTTTGGGATGTTAAGAATCTTCAGGGCAAGTTTTATTATGCCAGGAGAGTTTCCTTCTATCCATGATGAAAGAAGTTTCATGTAAGTTTAAGGATTAAAAAGAAACATTTTTACTTTTGAAAAACAGCAAAAGGGGGACTAGAATGTTGATTCTGGAAAGTTAAGGGGCCAGATGGACTTGAAATAATATTTCCTGTGGATTGTTTAAAATTTTATAAAAATATATAGGAAGATTTTGAAATTAACTGTAAGAAATCCTCCCGTTTTGTTGATTGGAAAATAAACATGTGATAAAAGGAGACTCTGAAGGTTGACTAGAGGGCACTAGAGAGAACAAAAGATTACAATTATAGGAGAAGAGACCTATTAATACAATGGAGCAATACTATTTCACTTTGGAAGAAATAAATGATATTTGGGAACAGTGTACCCAGAAATCAGTCTTAAGATTGTCTGCCACTATAAAAATGGATTTAACAGAGGCTATAAAAGAGGAACAGATTTTACTGGACAAAACAGAGACTGAGGGTGATTTCAGTGTGGATCTGAAAATGGACTTTAAAATGCCAGACTATGAGAGTGATATGGAAAAAGATGCCACATTGGATTTACAAATGAAACCAGCTGATGTCTTAACAATTAAAAGGGGACATACAAAGTTGCCAGCCAGAAATGGCTGACGCTTCAGCGGTTCGAGTCCAGCCTTCACGTTAAAAAGGGTGAGCTCCTGTTTCCTCCCCAGTTCCTGTCAACCCAACAGGTCGAAAAC